ACCGCACACCTCGGCCATCACAACTTGGGTCGATTTTGCATCCCTTAGGCGAAGTTTCTTTAATTCCTCCTCCAACGAGGCTAGCTTGGCAAGAACGGCATCGTTCGAGGACCCGATGGTTTGTGTAGCCTCATTAATGGGGGTCCTCTTGCGAACGCTCTTCCTTTGCGAATTTTCGCTCAACATCTCATACAAATTGTAGATTTCCTCATCCGTGTGGCTCCCTATGTCCCCATCGGCCGCATGATCGACCATGTATTGAAGAGTTTGGTGGAGACCATCGTAGAAGAATTGGTTGAGCACACCGAGGCAAAAGTGATGATGTGGGCATTGAAGTTGATACCCCTTGAATCGTTCCCAAGCCTCGTGGAAGGTCTCACCAATACTTTGGCTAAAGCTAGCCATTTGAGTCCGGAGATCGGTGGTCTTTTGGTGAGAGTAGTACTTGCTCATGAACTTCTCGTAAACGGCTTCCACGTGTTGAGCGAGCTCGGAAGCAATGTCATGAACCAGTCTTGGCTCGGTCTTTCAAGGTATATGGAAAGCACCTCATTCGGAGTTGGTTCTCGGTTAAGCCTTGGAGTGGGACTGTGTTGACGGTTGCGTAGAAGTCTCGGATGAAGTTGAGGGCATCCTCTTGAGCTAGGCCGTAGAATGATGGAAGTTGGTTTAGGTGGATGGTCTTGAGATCATAATTTTGGGCCGCTTCCCCGAGCACGAGACATGATGTGTTGTCTCCGATGATAGGCCGTGCAAAATATCTCATGTTCGGGGCAGGTTGGGGAAGTTGCTCATTTTGATTCGCCATTGGTTCGGGTTCCAGTTGAGGTTCGTCTATGTCGGATTCAACTATGAGGTCGACCGGTGGAGTCTCCTTTTGGGGTTTACGCCCTCGTCTACCTCGCATAAACAAAAACGACAACTATACCCGGTGAACGTATCAATGGGGAAACAAGATCAAAACACTAGCAACAAAAACAAATAAACGACAAAAAGCAAGAGAAAGCAAGAGAAACGCGGAAATTAAGCAAGGTTCACAAAAATCAAGAAAAACACGAGAAAAATAGACAATCAACTAGCAAACTAGGCGTCCTACTTGCCCTTCCCCGACAACGGCGCCATTTTGTTGAGTATAAATTTGATGGGCAAGGGATAACCGAGTTACCCGACTCGGGTCGATCTCGAAGGAAGGCTATTCGGAGCTTTGTCTACTAAATGATCGTC